TATGGTAGCCAACTGCCACATCTTTCTCCCCCGGAGCCGCTGGTGGTTTCGAACCGCAGACCTTTTGGTTAGCAGTCAGTTGATTTAACCACTGCGCCACCAGGGCTCCTTGTAGACAGATTAGAGATTACTTTATTCTTTTTAGTTATTTTCTTTTTTTAAATTTCAAACTTATAGAAAAGTTGCCAGAATAATGCCAAGGAATCACCTATATTCTTCAGCCAGATTCCCAATTGTTAACATTTTACTATACTTGCTTTAGCATTTTGTTTGTGTGTGTGTGTGCATATTATTGCTGTCTTCTAAACCATTTGAGAATAAGTTGCAGATTTATCCCTGAATCCTTCAATGTGTACTTACCCTTCCCCTGCCCCAAGACACTCTCCTATATAAACACAGTACAATTAACAAAATCAGCGAATTGACATTGATTCAACACCACTCAATCTACAGACCTCATTCAAATTTCATAGACTGTCCAATAATATCCTATTTCTTTTTATTGGGATTGGTATTTAGAAACCAAGATCTGAATGTCAGGTGTGCTTATTGCAATTGGGGTATTACTGTTTATAGCTTGTGTTTATAGTAAACACACATGCATACATACACACACATATACATCCGTACCTATTTCTACATCCATCAGCTTTGTTGTTGTTAGGTGCCATCATGTTGGTTCCAACTCATATTGACCTTATGTAGAACAGAACGAAGCACTTCCCAGTTCTGTGCCATCCTCAAAATCACTGCTATGTTTGAGCCCACTGTTGCAGCCACTGTGTCAATGCATCTCGTTGAGGGTCTTCCTGTTTTTCGCTGACCCTCTAATTTACCCAGCGTGATGTCCTTCTCCAGGGACTGGTCCCTCCTGATAACACGTCCATAGAACATGAGATGAAGTCTCACCATTCTGCTTCCAAGAAGCATTCTGGCTGTACTTCTTCCAAGACAGGTTTTTTCATTCTTCTGGTAGTCCTTGGTATATTCAATATTCTTCACTAACACCATAATTCAAAAGCATCAATTCTTCTTCGGTCTTCCTTATTCATTGTCCAGCTTTTGCATACATATGTGGTGATGGAAAAATAATATGGCTTGGGTCAGGGGCATCTGAGTCCCTAAAGTGACATCTTTGCTTTTTAACACTTTAAAGAGGTCTTTTGCAGCAGATTTGCCCAATGCAATACATCAGTTATATATATTAAAAACCATGAGTTAATATTGATGCCTCCAATTCCGATTCATCTCCATAGTGTTTGTTATATCTCTTCCCCTTCCCATTTTGTAACTCCTTTCTCTGGCAGTTAAAAAAAAAAAAAAAAAAAATCCTGGCCACATAATGTACTGACTCATTTTCTCAATCCCCCTATGTGGAACTATTTTCTTATCTAAGTGGGCTATCTCCTCCACCTCAACTCCTTCACAGATGTCAGCCTAGTAATCTACCCCCACCTCCACCAGCTAGGACCTCTCCATTACTGTGGCCCTGTTAGCTAAGCTTCTTCCTCTGCCCTTGGTGCTATCACTCTCATGGCAAAGTGACTTTTTTAAAAATGAAGAACAGATGAGAAATATGTTTCTGAAGCAGGCTAAATGTCATAAATATATAAAATGTTTCCAAATTTACATATATAATTAACGCAATTTCAACAGAATTCCAGTAGGGTTATTTTGAGAACTAAACATAATGATTGTAGAGTTCATATGAGACAGTATAGAACTGACAAGAAATTTTTGAGAAAATAGAATAGTGAAGAGATACTTTCTATATCTGATACTAAAACCTATTATCTAAAAAGTAGTAATTAAAACAATACGGCCTTAATGCAGTAATAGGTAAGTAGTCAACACAGTAAAACAAAGAGTACTGGAACAGATCCAAGCATATATTAGGAAATAATGTAAGAGAGTGGTAGCATTTCAAGTCAGTGGCGATAGCGTAACAAACAAACAAACAAAAAAACCAAACCCATTGCCATCAAGTCGATTGTGACTCATAGTGACCCTACAGGACAGAGTAGAAGTGCCCTATAGGGTTTCCGAGGAGCGTCTAGTGGATTCGAACTGCCAACCTTTTGGTTAGCAGCTGAACTCTTAACTACTATGCCACCAGGGTTTCCAGGGATAGGGTAGGTGTCAGGAAAAGAAACACAAAGATAATTCTGTTTCCATACATCACATTCTAGAACTGGTTCTACTTGTTGGATAACTTTAGGCAAGGCATCTAACCTTGCTTTGTCTTGATTTCCACACCCACAACATGATATAAATATTCGTTTACATAAATTATGGGATAGCTAGGAAGATAAAATGAGATAATTGCACTGCATAAATTCAAAGCAATATTTTTCCCTATGTTAGCCTCCCTCAGTGCCTCTTCATTCTATCTATTTAGTCATTCATACACATTTTCAACAAAATGTTGCTGACAACCAACTAAATGTAAGATCTGGGATGGATATTTGGGGATCAAAATAGTTTTCAACATGACCCCTGCACATAAGGTTGTTAATCAAAGCACAATTTAGTAGCACCTGTCTTATCACTCGAAGAATCAGAAAAGGAAGCGTAAGAAGTAGGACAGGAATGCTGAGGTGGAGTAATAAGGGGTGTTGTTTGTGGAACCATAATGGTTGCTTCTGTTGGAATGTGAATTGTCCTTTTTACTAAAGGGGTTGCAACCAAGCGTGTGAGTTTTCAAGTGCCTACATTGCTTTTCTGGCTTAGGTACTGTTGGGTTTTAATACTGATATATAACAGAGAGAAAGCAACCCATTCCAATAAAGATTTTTATGATACAACAATACAGTGAGTAAGAACCAAAAGAAGACTAGTTCATGCATGGGCTATTGGGACATCATGAAATTGACATTAATGGACTAAATAATAAAGCCTTCCTCATAAAGTACTAATGAAGAAAGAACTTCTTAAAGTTCTCCATTCTTTGGAACTATAAGTATGCATTAATGGCTTTAAAGTGAACTAACAAATGGTGTTGAAGATCCAAAGGCTCAAAAAGATTTCCTATTCTGGAAAACTAACATTTAAGTAAAATAAGGTGCTAAAACACAATGGCTGTTGCCTATGCCTGTTCTTGAAAATACAAGTGAAAAGAGAAATTTTGACTGGGATTTGGAACCCATTGCGTATCTTTGTAATGGGATAAGTATATATTTTGGATGGAGGGGAATTCTGGAGGAAATGATGTTTCTGTGTAAGAATGTTGGCTTGTGCGGGAAAATCACTATAGCACAGGCCTGGAAAGTAAATAGTTATAGTTTTTCCTATTAAACGGGAGTATCAAAGCATGTAAAGAATATCGGCACAATTAGATCTACCATAATTTTGCATCTGATTTCTCAACTAGTTCTGTGAATTTAGAACAAACGTTCAATGGGAAGGAAGAATTCCCAACATCAAATCCTAGAATGTGTCAGGTGATTAGAAGAGAAATTTTGTCATTGCAAAATAACTCTCTTGGCAGGGTATAATAGAAAATGTAAAACAGCAGCCCACTTTTGTAGTTGCATGTGGTACAATGAAGTTCTGTATGTAAATTTAAATACAAGTTTAAACAAGTCAGCTTAGCTTTAAGCTGATGGAGGATAGTCTAATAGCTATCAGTGATGGTGTGGTTCCTTTTGAGAAAGGGTATCTTGTAGCCAATGGAACTTAAGATCTACGCAGCCCGCACATTCAAGCAAGGTTGAAGGGACTGCTGCTGAGCATGGATTACTCCAGCTCTGTTCATACACAAGGTGCCCTGGTGGCACAGTGGCTAAAGTACTTGGCTGCTAACTAGAAAGGTCGGTGGTTCAAACATTCCATGGGAGAAAGATGTGGCAGTTTGCTTCTGTGAAGATTTACAGCCTTGGAAACGCAGTTCTACTCTGTCCTATAGTGTTGCTATGAGCTGGAATTGACTCGACATCAGTGGGTTTTTGGTCAGTTTCTTCTATTGAAGCTTCTATTTCTTTTGTCAGCTTTTTCTATTGCAACAAAAAGCAAAATAGGCACTAAACCAACAACGGCCAAAAGCAGGAAAAAAAAAAAAAAAGGAATGCTGCAACAGTAAGAGAGTAGAGGTAAAACCCTCTTGGCACAGGCACAAAGTTAGTTGCTTAATGCAGCTGTGAGATAACAGATACCTATGAAAAACTGGGAATTTGCTAGTTTACTTGATTAGAGGAGAAGGGCTATTAAGAAACATTTTAACTCTGCTTAATAAAGTAACTGATATTTATTTTGTGCCAGGAACTGTATGCAGTCTTTATGTGGATTGTCTCATTTAATCCTCTCATCCTACAAAGTAGGTGTTATTCTCCCCGCTTCAGAAGTGAAAAATATTAAGACAAAAGAGGTTAACCTTCTCAATATCTCACAGTTATTTAGTGATGAGTGTGGAATTCAAAATTCAGAAAGTCTAACTCCAGAGACCATGTTCTTAATTAATATTTTATATGCTTACATAGACAGCCCAACTTTTTCTCCACAAAATTTAGCTTCCCCTCCTCTGGACTGTTTCATCAGAAAGCCACCTTTTTAATAACCTCTTTAAAAGTGTAGTAGATGGCTATAACTTAAAATCCTATATATGATACTATTTAATCTTGAAGTGGAATGACTATTTTAGAAGTCCTATGAATAATCTGGCAAAAATGATTTAGCATATTCTTTAATGCAATGGATTAATTAGAAGGGAGTTTCCACTTAAGACATATTAGAATAATATAGAAAAATAGTGCTTTCTTTTCTATGCTGAAAGACACAATAGGTAATGTTCACATCTGGATAATATCACACGACCACTATCTATTCAAGTCTTCCATTCTCGATTTGATTCTCAGAGCAGACCATTTAACCTTTTACTTGTTTTTCCATTCCTCAGTTGCAAACCTTTCCCATCCCTTGCTATTTCTCGCAGTTACAAGTCCAAACCATTTCTACTTTTCATAAGACCGTAACTTCCGTTCCCCGATCTCTTCAGACAATCTTACCTTCTATGTCACTGAGGAAATTGAAGTCACCAGGCTTGAACTCCATGAACTCCCTCCTTTTAGATCCACAAACTTATCCACATGTATACCCATCCTTTCCATCTTCCTTCAGAAGATAAAGTGTCTTCTTGCTTGTCCAAATCAAATTCTCCCTTGAAAATTAAGGAAACTCCGTAAGCCATAGCACCTAGGCTGATCTCCCTACAGTACCAGAGACACAAAGGTCCCTGAATGGTGTAAACATTTGTGCTGGACTACGAACCTAAGTTGGCAGTTCAAATCTACTCAGCCGCACTGCACAAGAAAGGCTTGCTAATCTGCTTCCACAAACATTGCAACCAAGAAAACCCTATGAACAGTTCTACTCTGTAATACATGGGGTTGTGGTGAGTCTGAATCGACTTGACAGCAACAGGTTTGGTTGGTTTACTTTTGGGTTGGTGAAAGGAAAGCCAGACTTAGAAAAACATGGTCCAAACTTCCTTGAATTTGGATGATGACGTGACTTAATATTTACATTAAAGCAATAAGGTGGATTGGAGCCGCCTGCCGCAGTAGCCAATTCTGAGACAGGGGTGAGGTGAGCAGCAAGAGTTTTATTATATATCGATATATAGGAGACGGAGGGGAATAGATTCCTCCAAAAAACCCATCCCCCCAACTGGAGATCAGCCAAAGCCTCTTATAGGGACAGGATTATGGGTCTTAGAAGTTTGTGTTAGTTCCCACTTGAGGTGGTCACATCCCAGATGAGTTAATCTTTTCTTGGGGGTTATCCTGCGACATCCCGGTTTTCTTGTCCCAAGATGGGTGCTTTGTTCGGTTTGTCATTCCTAGATCATTATTGCTTGTTTTCCACCCTCCAAGGAGGAGCATCGGTTAACCTTAAACCTTTTGTAGAGACTGGAACCAGAGGGAAAAACAAGATCATGAGACAATGTGGGGTTAGCAATGGGGAGTAATAATAGTGAGCCGGGCCTATGCAGCCTCTTCCACTTATCCTTTTCCCGACTGTCATATAAACTGGGGTTCACGTGGAGAAATAAATCTACTGTTTGGATTTATGACTTTGCGGGTCAGGTAAAGATTCTCAGAAATAACCTATGAAAAAACCCAGCTGCTGATTTGAGTATGATGTTACATGAAAGGAGAGTACAGACCTGGAGCGGTGGTTAGAGAGCACGTTTGCTTCACACAACAGAGTAGCTCATACTTAATAATGGAGCAAAGCTCTTGGGCCATGATTCAACATGCCCAAGTTATCAGGATTGCTATGTCTCTACTCCCTAATCCTTCGGTATCAACAAGCACAGAACTTTTAGGATGCTGTCTCGCTGATGTCTATATCAGTTCTATTTGTCCAGGCCAAGAAACTACCAAAAGTTTAGCACTTAAATTCCTGGGGAGCCCCTTTCCAAGCTCTCCTTTGCCTTATGGCATAGTTTATTTGCAAGCTCCTATGGGAAGCAAAGTCTTGGGCTTCAGGAGGCACCCTGGAGGAAAGAGCTTTGCATTTTCCACAAGCGGCACAGGTGGATTTGATGCAGTTAGTTCAGAGCTTAAATTCTGAAAAATACAGTAGAATGGGGATGGTGATACATGAGTCATCTGTTCAAAGGTGTCCTGTGTAGGCAGCTTTGTAGACTAAGGCTTAGTTCAGGCTTCATTAACACCCTACAAAATTTAAAAAGCGGCGGACTAGTTGAGTCTGTCTTGAGGCAGCAGCTAAGACGAAACTCGCTCACGCTTGGGAGCGGGAAGGTGTCAGCTGACGCCGACTCCACCTGGACCACAGGTCTGGGAGGCGCCTCGGGGCCTGCTGCACAACCTCCACCTGAGCCATAGGTCTAGGACACTTCACCCGGTTTTCCGCGGGCTCCCTTGACCCTCCGCCAGCCGCCACGACCCTTCAGAGCCAGAGCGCCGGCGATCAGGAACACAACCCGAAAGCACAGACCGGAAGGGCCCGCCGAATCCGTCCCCTCCCCGTCGGAGCCGGAAGTACGACATCAGCAGCTGGCGCGTCGCCCTCCGCGGGCCGGCCACACGATGCCTCGCGGCCCCGGCCGCTTCCTCCGGGCCCCCGTAGCGCCCGCCGCGGCCCTGGCTGCGGCGCTGCTTTCGTCGCTGGCGCGCTGCTCCCTCCTGGAGTCGGGGGACCCGGTGGCTTCGGCGCTCAGCCCCTACTTTGGCACCAAGACCCGCTACGAGGACGTCAACCCCGGGCTGCTTCCGAACCCCGAGGCGCCCTGGAGGGACCCAGAGCTGCTGGAGGGCACATGTACGCCAGTGCAGCTGGTTGCCGTCATCCGCCATGGCACCCGCTACCCCACAGCCAAGCAGATACGCAAGCTGCGGCAGTTGCACGAGTTGCTACAGGCCCGCGGGCCGTGGGGTGGCAGGGCTAGCGCTACTAGCGGCCGCGACGTGGGCGCTGTGCTGGCCGACAGGCCGCTGTGGTACGCAGACTGGATGGACGGGCAGCTGGTGGAGAAAGGGCGGCAGGACATGCGACAGCTGGCGCTGCGCCTAGCCTCGCTCTTCCCGACCCTCTTCTGCCGTGAGAATTTCGGCCGCTTGCGGCTCGTCACCAGCTCCAAGCACCGCTGCGTGGACAGCGGCGTCGCCTTTCTGCAGGGACTATGGCAGCACTACAACCCTGGCCTGACGCCGCCCGACGTCGCAGGTGACCGCCCGGCCGCCAGACCCGCGCACTGTCGCGACTCATACCCTTTAAGTCCCCCTCTACCCTGGCAACAGGTTCAGGTTCTCTGGGCCCCCAGCCTATCCTCACTTCCCGGTGTCCCCAGTCATCCACCCCTCGGGCAGCATCCTCCCAGGGCCCAGGATTAGGACTAGGCTATCTCCCTTCTCATACATCCATTCACTTATTTATTCATCAGGTATGAATTTAGCACTTTCTTCGTGCCGAGGACTGTAGTAGACGCTAAGGATCCAACGGGAAAGCAGACAGGATCCTGCAATTTTTAATCTTCTCTTCCCAAATTGAATTGTCCCCTCAGAATGCCAGCCCGTCCCTATTCCCCCTCTCTGGCCGCTGGTTCTACAGTTGGGTGCGCTTATTTTTTTTTCTTTTAACCTAGAACTTTCTTCTTCAGGTTTTGCATCTGATAGTAGTTCGGTTTTTACTTTACTTATTAGCTTTTTCAGATATTCTCAAGTGTTCTTTACTACCCTGCTTTTTTTTTCGGTTTTGTTCTTGTATATATTATAGAGTTCTCATAGCTATGGTCCAGGGTCACAGGCTGTATCTTAGTAATTTATTCCATTGATTAAGAATTAACAAAATTTAAGAGATCATTTAATAGGATCCTTTTATTTCACAGGTAAAGAAGAGCCTTGTGGATTGTTCTTCACTAGTTTGAGTTCTAGAGTCAAGCACAGAATTTGGTAATCTTATTTCCCAAAATAGTACTTTTTCCTCTCAGAGAATGTTTTAATAGTCATAGCTGTATCCAACACTGATTTCATTAAATCCTCACAACAGCTCTCTGAGGTACCCTACCTCATAGATAAGGAGATTAAATAATTTGTTCAGTTTCATGCAGCTAAGTAGGGACTCAGGTGATCTGATTCAGAGATTGTTCTCTTAACCATTACACTATGCAGTTTCCACTTGTCCTGTGACATGCCTGATAAGAATAAAAACGTATAACATTTTTGTGCTGACAGGTGTTAATGGTTTCTTGAGAATTCATTTTAAGGCCAGAGTTGAGTTGAGGAGCATCACTTAGATTCAAAGCCCAAGTGAAAAACAAATTAGAGGTAGACTGGTTTGTCATTTCTACAGTAACATCCTCTCAAGTGATTCAGGCATCCCCAAGGTGTTTCTCCATTGACTGTGTCATGTGTTACTGCTTTGTGGGTAACTCATTTGGTTGACTTGTTTAGTCACTTGTTGAATTATGCTGTTTAATTATAGCTAGACTTTTTCTGTTAACATGGATGAAAATTCCCCATACGGAAAAAAAAACAAAAACAAAACCAAATCCATCTCGTGGTAACACCATGTGCTTCAGAGTAGAAGTTCACTCCATAGAGTTTTCAATGGCTGTAATCTTATGGAAGTAGATCACCAGACCTTTCGGGCAGACCTTTCTTCCCCCAGTGAATAGTAGCCAAGAGCAAACTTTTCGCCACCCAGGGAACTTCAGAAATTCACCATGGATCTATTAACTGAGTTTTGAAAGCTGAACATACTTTAATATAGCACAATGTACAGCATATACCACAAAGGGACCTCTGGGGATGAATGAATTTTTTTCCTTAGCTGGCATTATGAGAATTGGCATGTGCTTGGAATACAAAGCCAGGGATCAGGATAGGTCAGGGTAAATCCTCTCCTCACCATTTTCAGTCTCTCTGAGCTTAAACCCTTTGCTTAGCCACTTCATTATCATCTATAGACAATAGTTTTGCCTATTGTGTATATCTGGGCTTTTGAGAAAGGCCACTGAATTAGATTTTGTATTCTTATAGAAACGGAACAATCCCTTTGTTTAAAGAGTGGCAGTAATTAGATTACAGCAAGGATGAAATATCCAGATCCATGTGCACAATCATATTTTGAGGCCACTTATTTTCCTAGTCAAGATAATTTGAGAACTGTAAACCAAGGGAGCATGTTGATATGTCATGGCATTGTTAACTAATGTCATAAAGCAATATGTGTACTGACTGTTTAATGAGAAAATATTTGTTTTGTAAACCTTCACCTAAAGTACAATAAAAAAAATTTTTTTTTAAAAAATGGTTAAAGGAAAAACAAAAAAAAAAGAACTATAAACCATTTACCCATTTCCGGGTCCACTGAATACACACACAACCAAAGCAAAATGGTATAACTGCATTCAATTTTCTTACATTTTGTATACGGAAATCATATGTTTGGTGTCCTTTTCATGGTAAATTATTGGAGAAATGAGGATTGAGATACGTGTGTTTTGACTATGACTGGAAAAAAAAAGGCACCCCAGGAGTTGAAGCATTGATTATCAAATGCTTTATAATATAAACCTATACCTTTTTGTTGTCAAATTGGGGAAATAATGTACCTTGTTGAATTCTAAATGGAAAGTTATCTAGGGGCATCAATCAGAAGATAAACCAAATCATAAACAGCTAGAACAGTGAAATATAGTAGACCTAAAACATTTAATGTGTTTTGTGCTACTGTTAGTAGTTTTTGTACAAAACAAATTATTTTGTAAAGTAATACAGGGTTGAGAAAGTTAATTAAGAAATAAAATACTCTAAAAAAAAATCAATGTATTGAATTATCTCTCACTTTATAATTAGAAACTGTTAATTTTTAATTTTCTTTCTCAAGTTTTCTGTGCCTGATAGAAACAGTATTTATGTAAGAGCTTTTTTTTTTCACTTTTTATGACTTTCTTGTCTATTTTTGTTTTCTTTAAAGAGAAGTCATTTCAGTTACCTTTATTTCATTGTGTAGTATTACAATAACACATTTTATTTTATCTTTGATACTCTCTTTCATTTTTTCTAGCATATTCTGTCATGCATCACAGTGATTACGAATGGGGAATTGTTTTGCCCTATGTTTTTATTGGTCAGTTTGTGCTTATTCTATGCATTCAGATGAATAGGTTGTTAGCATTCCTTTTTCACACTTGAAACAAACTTTTTAACAATTCTAAATTGTCATCTATGTCAATGGTTTACATATAAAACCAAACCTGTTGCTGTCAAGTTGATTCCGACTCATAGCAATCCTATAGGACAGAGTAGAACTGCCCCTTAGGATTTCCAAGGATTCAAACTGCCAACCTTTTGGTTAGCAGCTGAGCTCTTAACCACTACGCTACATATATATTACATATATATATATATGTAATTTTTTTTCTTTTTCTTTTTCCCTTTCAGACATGGAATGTGGACCTCCAAGGATTAATGATAAACTGATGAGGTTCTTTGATAATTGCAAGAAGTTTTTAACTGAAGTGGAAAGGAATGCTACAGCTCTTTACCATGTAGAAGCCTTCAAAACTGGACCAGAAATGCAGGACATTTTAAAAAAAGTTGCAGCTACTTTACAAGTGCCAATAAATGATTTAAATGCAGGTAATGTGCCTATTATCTTTCATTTGAACTTCTGGTGTATATAGTTTTTGAACTCTGAAAATGAAATATAAGGAAACATAAAGTTATTCCTTTTAAAGGCTCACAACTGAACTTCCGTTAAGAAAATAACATGTTCTAGGACAAGAAAATTATACGCCTCATGCTTACTATTTTTATAGTCACATTCTTCTTCAGTTTTACGTAAATATACAAGATTCTTGCTATGGCCTTTTTTTTTTTTTTTTTTTAAGGACAGGTATATAAACCATTAACCTCAAGCATTATTTATAAAACCAAAATTATCTATTCTTAATTCTCTCTTCATAAAGTGATACAAATGAAAAATCATACATATAATACTATAGGTTTGGAAGTATATGTTAATGTTTTGTGGGAGCTAAGTTTTAAAAGTAAAAACAAGTTTTTTTTTGTTTTTTTTTTTTGAGGCTGTTACCTCTAGAGATGCTGAAAAAAATGAGAAGTCATGTCAATCATAAGATATGAGTCGGCTGACAGTACAATTTATCATCCAAACTGGAACTCTTAAAAGTGAAAAAGTGACATTATTAATAGTAACACTGGGAAAGCAGATGGAAAACCAGGTCTTGTGGTCACCCAATAATGGGAAATTAAGAAAAAATTTTAAAAAATTTTTTCTTGCTTTCAAGGAATTTATAATCCATAGAGCAGATGTTGACAAGTAGAGAGACAAAGATTGTGGATTTCATTATATTGTGAATCAATTGTCCAAAGACTGGAAGTAGAAGATGTTGGGAAAAGAAAGAAAATAAATTAGAATCTGTCATTCATGGATTCTGGATGCTTTATATGGATTTAAAAAAGTGAAGATACCTAGATGAGTACTTGAAATTGAATTTTTTCCCTTTTCTCAAACTGGCTGTACATTTGGGTCACATGTAGGGCTTTAAAATTTTTTTTTTAATTGGGAAACAATTCAAACATTTAAATAAGCATTAAGGCTAATAAACATCATATATCCACAACTTTGTTTTGTCAAATTTTGACATTAAGCTTCAGTTGTTTGCTTTAAATAAATTGAGGTCGCTTGGTCCTTGTCCTGGATCTCATTCCTCTTCTCTCCCCAGTTATTGTTGTTAGGTGCCATTGAGTCAGTTCCGACTCATAGCGACCCTGTGTACAACAAAACGAAGCACTGCCCGGTCCGACACCATCCTCAGAATTGCTGCTATGTTTGAGCCCATTGTTGCTGCCACTGTGTCAGTCCATCTCATCGAGGGCCTTCCTCTTTTGGCTGACCCTCTACTTTACCAAGCATGAGGTCCTTCTCTAGGGACTGGTTGCTCCTGATAATCACGTCCAAAGTATGTGGGACGAAGTCTCACTGTCCTCGCTTCTAAGGAGCATTCTATCGGTACTTCTTCCAAGACAGATTTGTTCATTCTTCTGGCAGTCTGTGGTGTATTCAGTATTCTCCAGCACCATAATTCAAAGGCACCAATTCTCCTATGGTCTTCCTTATTCATTGTCCAACTTTCGCATGCAAATGAAGTGATTGAAAATACCATGGCTTGGGTGAGGCGCACCTTAGTCCTCAAGGTGACATTTTTGCTTTCTTTTTTTTTTTAAAAAAACACTTTAAAGAGGTCTTTTGCAAGAGGTTTGCCCAATGCAATACGTTCTTTGATTTCTTGACTGCTGCTTCCATAGGCATTGATTGTGGATCCAAGTAAAATGAAATCCTTGACAACTTCAATATTTTCTTCAGTTATCACGATGTTGCTTTTTGGTCCAGTTGTGAGGATTTTTATTTTCTTTATGTTGAAGTGTAATCCATACTGAAGGCTGTAGTCTTTGATCTTCATCAGTAAGTGCTTCAAGTTCCCTGCACTTTCAGCAAGCAAGGTGGTATTATCTGTATATCACAGATTGTTAATGAGTCTTCCTCCAATCCTGATACCATGTTCTTCTTCATATAGTCTAGCTGCTCGGACTGTTTGCTCAGCATACAGAATGAATAAGTATGGTAAAAGGAAACAACCCTGATGCACACCTTTACTGACTTTAAGCCACTCAATATCCTCTTGCCTCTCGATCTGTGTATAGATTCCTCATGAGCATTATTAAATGTTCTGGAATACCCATTCTTCACAGTGTTAACTATAATTCGTTATGATCCACACACGCAAATGACTTTGCATAGTCAGTAAAAACACAGGTAAACATCTTTCTGGTATTCTCTGCTTTCAGCCAAGATCCATCTGACATCAGCAATGATATCACTGGTTCCACATCCTCTTCTGAATCCAGCTTGAATTTCTGGCAGTTCCCTGTCGATACATTGCTGCTACCACTTTTGAGTGATCTTCAGCAAAATTTTACTTGTGTGTGATATGAATGATATTGTTTGATAATTTCTGCATTCTGTTGGATCACTTGTCTTTGGAATGGGCACAAATATGGATCTCTTCCAGTTGGTTGGCCAGGTAGTTGTCTTCCAAATTTCGTGGCATAGATGAGTGAGCATTTCCAGCATTGCATCCGTTTGTTGAAACATCTCGGTTGGTATTTCATCAATTCCTGGAGCCTTGTTTTTTGCCATTCCCTTCAGTGCAGCCTGGACTTCTTCCTTCAGTACCATAGGTTCTTGATCATATGCTGCCTCCTGAAATGGTAAACATCAACCAGTTCTTTTTGGTACAGTGACTCTGTGTATTTCTTCCATCTTCTTTTGATGCTTCCTGTGTCGTTAAGTATTTTGCCCATAAAACCAAAAAAACCAAACCTGTTGCCGTCAAGTCGATTCCGACTCATTTTGACCCTACAGGACAGAGTAGAACCGCCCTGTAAGGTTTCTAAGGAGCACCTGGTGGATTCGAACTGCTGCCCTTTTGGTTAGCAGACAAACTCTAACCACTACGCTATCAGAGTTTCCAACTTAAGGCTTCAGTTTTTTCTTCAGTTCTTTTAGCTTGAAAAATGTGGAGTATGTTCTTCCCTTTTGATTTTCTATCTCCAGCTCTTTGTACATTTCATGATATTACTTCTTTAGCTGCATTATGAAATCTTCTGTTCAGCTCTTTCACATCATCATTTCTTCCTTTTGCTCTAGCTACTCTACGTTCAAGAGCAAGTTTCAGAGTCTCTCTTGACAACCATTTTGGTCTTTTCTTTCTTTCCTGTCTTTTTAATGACATCTTGCTTTCTTCATGTATGATATCCTTGATGTCATTCCACAACTTGTCAGGTCTTCGGTCATTAGTATGCAGTGTGTCAGATCTGTTCTTGAGGTGGTCTCTAAATTAGGTGGGTAAACTCAAGGTCGTACTTTGGCTCTTGTGGACTTGTATTACCTTTTTTTAGCTTCAGCTTGAACTTGCACATGAGTGATTGATTGTCCCAGGCATAACCATTTATCATGAATTTAGCATTTAAATCATCCCCATTCCAGTTTTTATATTTATGTTTCTGTACACAAATGGGATATTGTTTTATAGGTTTTTTTTTTAATTTTTAAGAACATTATCAAACTGTATGATATCAGCCTCAAATTTGATTTTTTTTCAACTTTGTGTTTAGGTTAATGTGTGTAATTCGTTTCTTTTATGGTATATTTTTATATACAGAATTCCATTGTATAACTATACCACTATCCATTCTCCTGTTAGTGCAAATTTAAATAGTTGAAGTTGATTTTTAAAACCATTTTCAGTCTTTAGTTGAAAGGGCAGGTATTATTTCAATTTTATTAATAGACTTCTTCCAGCTGGTTGGAGTAATTGAGAGCAACTTCTTTTTGGAGGCAATGTAAACATAGTTAAAGCATGGATTCTGAAAGTAGACTGGGTTTGAATCTTGACTTTACTGTACTGTTGACTAACTGTGATTCTAGGCAAGTTTCTTAATATTTCTGTTTCACAGTTTCCTTCTCTGTTAAATGGGTATAGAAGTTTTACCTAACTCATAGGATTTTTGCGAGGATTATTTGAGGTTAATTCATGCAAAACATTTAGCACAGTACCTGGCACATAGTAACTGATAAACATTTTAGCTATTTATTTATTTTACATAGATCATGCTGTATGTAGTTCCCTGCAACTTATTATTTTTATTTAACAGTATATGTGTCTCACTCTTTTAAGTTCTATGTTGTATTTTCATAAGATATATAATTGAGTTTCTAGGTCAACTTTAGTTCAAAAGTTATTTAACCCATCATTAAATTTTACTGCTAGAAAGGACTGGAGTTAATACACTGTAGATTCTTTTTTTTTGAGATCATTTTTCTACTGAGGTTATTCTTTATTTTTTGACTCTTTCAAATGATGTTGCAGTAAACATTCTTGTAATCTGTGTTTTGCACTTGTGAGTTTATCTATGAGATAAATAACTATCAGTTGAATTTCTGGGCCAGCCAGTAATGCATATTTTACATTTTGACATCTTCCAAATTGTTTTCTGTAGGTGGAATAAAAATTTATACCAACAATATATGAGAATGTTCATTTTCCAGTATCGTCTTCCAATACTAAGTATTGAGTAATTTTTTTGTATTTTGTGTTTTAGAAATCCCAACATTTTTATTGGGTTATATTTTATGTTTTTGATATTAGTTGTAGGTATCCTTTATATACTGTGGGTGTATTAATGATATATCCTTTATTAATTCTACCTGACAAAGGACTAATCCTTTGCCTGTTTACACGTTGCTAACATTTTCTCTTAATCTGTTGCTTATCTTTTAAGTTTGTTTATGATGCTGTTGTACAGAAGTTTATACTTCTTATGAAACCATCAGTCTTTTCATTATGGCTTCTGAGTGTTGCATTTTGCCTAATATATCTCTGTAACCCCAAGATTATTACATTTTTCCTGTTTTCTTTTTGTTTTTAATGTTTAAATCTAATCGATCTGAAGTTCCAAAAGATTGACCAAGAAGTCGAAAGCGTTAAAATAGATGAGCCAGACCCATAACTCGTCAAGAAAGATTATTTGTCAACTTTATTTTCTAGGTGGGAAAATTGAGACCCAAAGAGCCTAGAATGACTTGTCCAGGATAATTAGTCATTATAATTTGTGGCAGAGTCAGTTCTCATAGCCTCAGTCTTCATCTCATACGTTTTTTCCTCCTATACCAAAAAAATCCATTGTCATCAACTCAGTTCTGACTCATAGCAACCCTATAGGACAGAGTAGAACTGCCCCCATAAGATTTCCAAGGAGCAACTGGTGGATTTGAACTGCCGACCTTTTAGTTAGCAGCCGAGCTCTTAACCACTGCGCCTATAGTACTGCCTTGAAGAATTGTTTGATTTTTTTTTTTTTTTTTAAGTCAGCCTCCGTCCAGTTAAAGAATAGACCTTTTGGGCAGACTTTTATAATTGTAGAACTAGAACTGTGAGTGTGAATGAGCCAGGTTTTTTCATCAAACATAGGGTACTTACAAGATACTGTATTATATTAGGTATTGGAATTATGAAATCATACATTTATATAAGCAAAGTTTTCAAAGGGCTTTTATGTTTATTCCCAATAAAATATGTTTATACTGTATACTGTCTCAGGGGAATTCTTTAAACTTAAAATTAGTGTATAAATAATGTAATTGGTCCCAGTTTCCCTAGGGAAAGTGAAAGGCAGTGAAGTTAAAGAAAAATCAAAACAATGGAGGCTCCCATTGCAGTTGACTTCTTTTCTCTCATTGTAACAATAAAAATCACCCCACTTCAATTGACTATAGAGGAATGTTTTTATTTGCTACTGACAAATACTGTTTTTGTAGCCCACGTACCCATTCTCTTGTCCCTTCTCCTCAAAACCCACAGGTATCTAAAAGTAGTCTAATCAGCTAATTAGCAATGAAAAAAACCCCAGATAACTTACTCTGAATCCCACTGCCCCGTTGAGCAGCTAAGTTTGAAAAGCTGATGCCGTTACCAAGCTTACTGTCCCTCTTCAGCATGTTTTTTCCCTTATTGTTCTTTTGCTTCTTGATTCTTTCATCTTCCTCCTGACCCCTCACTTTTTCTGCCTTTTTTTCCTCTGTCTCTTGCAGTCATCTTCTCTTCACCTTACATCTCAGTACTCTCTTCTCCTTAATAGATACAGTATGAATTGCTCTATAGTTATTTAAAAAAAAAAAAAAAAACTGTTCAATAAATATAAATCTGTTATTTCCAGTTTTCAGGTTGGGGATTAAGACTTTTTATAACTTATCTTCCCTCCCCCAAATTAACAAGATCAATGTATGTTTAACATAGACAAGTCCTTGGAGCAAACTCTGTGTTGGGTTCAATAGGCAAACATGGTCTTAACAAATATATTACTTTTAAAAGCAGAAAATAAAATTACTGTTTTACAGAGAGAAAGTTTCTTTGTTTTGTTGGACTGAAACCCTCCTCATTGTTCTTCCTGGTGGTTCCAGTTCCACCCCTTTGGATTGTACAGAGCATGTCTTCATTCTTGGATAGCCAGTCAGAAACTGAATTCTCCAAACTAAACATAGTCAGTTGCTTCAGTTGTGCTGCACATAGCATTATATAGATATTTAGCCTTTGAAAAATTGCAGAAAATATTAACCCACAAAAATTTACCTTTCTTTGTTTTGTTTTCAGATTTAATTCAGGTAGCTTTTTTCACCTGTTCATTTGACCTGGCAATTAAAGGCATTAAGTCTCCTTGGTGTGATGTTTTTGACATAGATGATGCAAAGGTAGGTATTTGCAGTTTCTCTGCTTTTTTTTTTTTTTTTTTGGTAACTTGCAGCTTTTCAGAAAACAAGCAAAATAAGAGACATTAACTATTTTGTGACTAACGTGTAATTTTCCTTAAAGAGAGATGAATTCTTCAGATAATTCCTATCTAACTTGTCAGTTGGGTCATAAAACTCTGGAAAACATGTTTTCATGATGATTCAATTTCTAAGTCCATCCTGGTTAGAAACCTGTTTAACCCATCATCAGATTTTACTCCTGGAAGGCACTGTGGAAATAATATAACCCAAACTCTTCTTTTTATAAGAAGTCAAAGCTCAGAGAGGAGGAGAAATGATTTTTCCAAAGACCTAGCTATTTACTTCCTGTTTTCTTAAGAAATTGTTCTGCATTCCACCTGATGATGGCAGTAATTCACCTACAATTTCTATCTCCCCGTTTCAAATTCCCTTTTTTTCTCTTCACTCTTTTAGATTCCTGAAAGAGAAAGGCAAAGCAGGCAAGGCCTCTGAAAGGAGGTAAATTCTGGTCAGTTTTGGGGTGTTGGGAGCCAGAGAGGTGGGTTAAAACAGTGTTGTTTTCTCTCAAGCATTGTGGGTAGCAGCGTTGGATAACATTCTGGTGGATGAGAGTAGTATATGAGTCTTTCAGGAATATGGACTTCTGAAACCATAGTCATCACTTGCATACAGCTAAAACCTTCAGTATTCCTTATGAAAATTATTTCAAAATTTAATCTCAGATTTTGAAAAGAAGTATACTATTTGCATGATTTAAAAAAGTAGGCTTTTTAGCACAGCTTGTATAGGGGAAGGTCATGGAAGCTCCATAGATACATCCAAACTCCCTGAGGGACTGGATTACTAGGCTGAGGGCTGTGGGGACCATGGTCTCAGGGAACATCTAGCTCAATTGGCATAACACAGTTTATAAAGAAAATATACTACATTCTGCCTTGGTGAGTAGCTTTTGGGATCTTAAAAGCCTGTGAGCAGCCGTCTGAGGTACTCCACTGCTCTCACTCCTTCAGATAACAAGAGAGAATGAAGAAAACTAAAGACAGAAGGGAAAGATTAGTCCAAAGGACTAACGGACCACAACTACCACGACCTCCAGCAGACTGAGTCCAGCACAATTGGATGGTGCCCGGCTACCACCACTGACAGGGATCACAACAGAAGGTCCCAGGCAGAGCTGGAGAAAAATGTAGAGTAAAATTCTAATTCACACAAAAAGACTAGACTTACTGGCCTGACAGAGACTGGAGAATCCCTGAGCGTATGGCCTTTTGGCTCAGTAATGAAGTCACTCCCGAAGTTCACGGTTCAGCCAAAGATTAGGCAGCCCCATAAAATAAAACGAGACTAAAGGGGCACACCAGCCCAGGGGCAAGGACTAGAAGGCAGGAGGGGACAGGAAAGCTGGTAATAGGGAACCCAAGGTCGAGAAGGGAGAGTGTCTTCATGTCTGGGGGTTGTTAACTGATGTCATAAAACAGTATGTATACTAACTGTTTAATGAGAAGCTAGTTCTGTAAACCTTCATCTAACATACAGTTAAAAAAAAAGGAGACAAGAGAGTCTAGATCATATATGACCTCTTAGGGCTGGGCAAGAGTTTGGGTACAAAAATAAACATTACTGAATGTTGAGCAATTTCTCCATCTTTAAATGCCTCTCGCTAAATCCTTCATTCTCCTCCAGCTAAAGTCTCATTGCTCTCTAGAACAAAACTCCTTTAGAAAAAGAAAAAGAAAAAAAAAAAGGCAGGCTTTTAAACTGAGAGCTAATGTACATTTGAAGGTAAACAAGTGATTTATATTGTTACTTAGAGACTTAAGTGACCAGCAACCAGTTCAAAGGTAGATAACATCTTCTTCTGTGGTATTGTGCCAAGGTAGACGTGGCGGTTAGAGGTGAGTTGGGAAGAAGGGAAAAGGCGCTCAGTGGATTGATGCTATAGGATGCTGAGCACCAGCAGTAAGTAGGTTTATTGTATTTCTCTTCTCACTACTCCTGAATCACTTCCTGATGAGCAACCATTTTCCCTCTGTCCAAGTACCTAGTACTTTACTCTTCTCCTGTAGTTTTCCATAACTCACTGCTTCAGAAACTTTCTGGCGTACCCTTCCTTGAAATGCCCTGTGCTTAGGATGACCATATTATTATCTTCCAAATTAGGATAATGAAAGGGGCATTATTAATAATTATGCCTGAACGGGTATACACTGAGACTTATGGTTGCCATACTGAAGAAAACAAACCAAACCCGTTACCCTCGAGTCGATTCAGACTCATAGCGACCCTGTTGGACAAAACAGAGCTACCCCATAGGGTTCCAGGGAGTGGCTGGTATATTCGATCTGCCGACCATTTGGTTAGCAGCTGAGCTCTTAGCCACTGCACCACCAGGGCTCCATGGTCACCATGCACATACATCAGAATCACCTCACTCCCCTTTCCTTCCCATCCAGATTCCTTTCCTATTGAAAAAAAGCTGATAAACATAATTGAAGTGGTTTTCACTATTGTGCAAATAACTGATGGATAATTTCCAAAAGGGAAATTTACATTTTAATAGGAGGAACTTCTTATTTGCCCAGGTTACTCTAGTTGGTGAAATATGTGTGAGGTGATTTACTGGCTACCTGCCGTCTGCCCCTTTTCTATTCTGAAGGTTGGCAACCCCTGGTTTAAGTGCAGAATGCTTTCCCTTCAGTGAAAATATACACCTCAGGTCATAACCAGCCTTTGCTTATTCATTGCCCATCACCTACTTGTGCTCTCTCTCTTTCCCTTGTTTAAACCCCTTTCCTTTCAAACGTTTTATTCTTGCATTTTGTGCATCTTCACTTTCTCTGCTTGGGGGGTAGTTTGATACACTGTACTACAAAAACCCGGCAAGCCAAGACCTGGGTTCAAGTAACACTTAATCATTCTGTGCCTTGATTTCCACATCTCTTAAGTGATGGGACTAGATTAGATGACTCAAGAACACCCTCTAGTAATCTAAGATTCTATATTGTCTTTTTCTTTTCCTTCCTTTTCTTTTTTTGGATTACCCGTTTATCTCATTATTGCTAATGAGTTCTCTCTCTCTCTTTTTTTTTTTCCCCTCAACTTATTTTGAAAATTTAAAGGCAGATTTAGGTTGCTTGGAACTTGAATATCTTCCAGCCTTATGATAGTTCTGAGAATTGTTCAGATTACAGCTCTCCAATAGCGTTCAGCAAAAGACTCAAGGAAACCTCACAAATTTCTGGAGCTCTTTTTTGTGTAACTCCCTCCTCTCTGATACTCTGCCCTTTAATTCCAGTTCCTAAAGCCTTTCTAAACTCTGAGCTCTTACTCTTCATCTCAGCAAGACTGTTGTGTTCTGCTTGGGATCTCTTCCCTGTGCCACAGTTTGCAAATGCCTTTAGGCAGGAAGCTGGGCAGTTGGTTCACTTTTTTCCTCTCAGTGACCACAGTTCATTGCTTATCCAGTGGTAAAAACATTTATTTTATACAGTTTGTCCAGTTTTCTAGTTGTTTGTGGCAGAAGGGCATGGCTGGTATCCATTACCCCATCATGGCAGATGATTTATTCTTTTAATGTACTGCTGAATTTTATTTCAGGTTCATTAAATCATGTGTATAGTGAGGTTGGTTTATGTCAGTGGCTCTCATTTGTGGATGGTATATTACTTACCCTCACCCTACTCCTCTTTCTTTGTGAGGGTTAAAAATGTAAGGGGCTATTTTCACAATTGGCATTTAGCGGGTGAAGGTAATGGATTCTCTCTTACGATGCACTGGTCTGTAATTTCCTCCCCTCACCTCTTTTCTTTGTGTTTCGTTTGTCCAGTTTTGGTAACATGATACTGTTGGTCTCTTAAAATGAGTTGAGAAGTGTTTTCTGTGCCCTGGAACAGTTTAAATATTAAGAACTAACTCTTCTTTGCAAGTTTGGTAGAATTCATGCTTAAAACCACGTATCTGTTAGGTAGACCTGCAACTCTATGGTTATTTGTATATTCAAATTTTTTGAGTCCATTTGGATAACTTATTTTCCTAGAAAAATCATCCATTTTATTTACTTTTATTTTATTTTTTTTTGTATCCAAATTGTGTTTATTGGGATAGTTTCCCACTCATTATGATTCAGGGTGCTTTTAGTGCTGCTTCTGTCTGAAGGAACATCCTTCTGTGAGCCTTGCTTTTCCTCCGGTAGGCTGGCAGAGGACAGTTTGTGTGTGGCTAAATACCGTGGTGATTTTATAGCATCCTGGGCATTTCACATCCATGAAGTAGGAGTTAGGGCTCTGCACCAGGCGCTTCTTCTTGTGTTTCCTCTTCTCCTCTTCTGGAGAGGGATGAAGGAGATTCTTTGCGAGACGCATATTGGCGTGGGGAGATTGTCACCGCCGGAAAAGCCCATTTTATTTACTTTTACAGTTTTTTTTGATATAAAGTTTTAATAGTGTGCATGTGTGATTTTTGTTAAATCTCATTATTCATTTTTTTATTTCTGATAGTATTTGTTTTCTCTTATTTCTTGAATAGATTTGGCAGACTCTTATCTAATATTTTTCTTAATTCCCTTTATTTTAATTCTTTTTTTAAAAAACTTTTTAATGATTATTTTGCCCCTTTTACTAACTTCTTGATTTAATTGCCTTTTTAGTACATTTTCAGTTTTGTTTTTAGTGTATGGCACTGTCCCACTCCTGCCCTTAAACTTACTGTGACTTCCACTTAGTTTCTCTAGGGACTCCTTGAAGAAGAAAGACAACTATTGCATAGTCTTCTCCTGTACCTCTTTTGAGTTGAAGGTTTTAGTCTCAAGTTTTGGTGTCTATCTGATCAAATGATACACAAGTACAAGTTCAATATTCACATAAAGGCTACCTTAATCACCAAGTCCGTAGCCCTGGTGGCATAGTGGTTAAGAGCTGTGGCTACTAACCAAAAGGTCGACAGTTCAGATCGACGAGCCGCTGCTTGAAAACCCTATGGGGCAGTTCTACTCTTTCCTGTAGGGTCGCTGTGAGTCGGAATCGACTTGATGACAATGGGTTTTTTAATCACCAACTCCAGTTCCAGACCATTCTGCAGAAGCTAACTACTGCTGTCAGTGTGATGTTTACCTTCCAAACTGTTCTCTATGCTTTTGCTTAATATCTGTATCATTCTCAGAAATACAAAGGGTGTAATGTGTATTTGTATATGTATGTGTGTTTTGATAATAAATGCTATCATACTGTATTTACTATTCTTAACCTGCATTTTTCATTTAGCTAGGTGTCTAAGAGATCTTTCCATGTCAGTACATATAGATCTACAATATAGAACTTTAATAATTACATAGTCCTTGGGCGGTGCCTTGGTAGCACAGTAGTTAAGAGCCTGGCTGATAACCAAAAGGTCAGCAGTTCGAATCTACCAGCCACTCCTTGGAAACCCTATGAGGCAGTTCTCCTCTGCCCTATAGAGTCGCTATGAGTCGGAATTGACTTAATGGCAGTGGGTTTGGGTGGTGCAAACAGTTAACGCACTCAGTTGCTAATTAAAAGTTTTGGAGATTTAAGTCCACCCAAAGGTGCCTTGGAAGAAAGGCCTGGTGATCTACTTCTGAAAAGTCAACCTTGAAAACCCTATGGAGCACAGTTCTACTCTGACAGGTGTGGGGTTGCCATGGGTCGGAATCAACTTGATGGCAGCTGGTTTATGATATTCCATAATATTTGTATAACATAGTTTATTTAACCATCTACCTAAAGGATTTTTTTTTTCTTTTTTGGTTCCTATAAGGAGTGCTGCTGTAAGACATTCTTGCACATTTTCCCTTGTGTTTCTCTGTGAATATTACTTTATGAGAAATGAAATTAAATGGGCCATAGAGCATATGCATTTTCATGAATTTTGCCAGTTTGCCCTCTAGAATGTCTGTACTCACATATGCTCCTTCCAACACTACCTATTTTCCTATATCCTTGGTGTACTTTTTTTGCCAAACTGCTAAGATAGCAAAGTAACTTATTTTCTGTTTGGTTTCTATCTTCCAAAAAGTCTTAAAAATTCCTGATCTACAGTTGTCATCTTTCTTGTGCTATAATAGATATTCTTCTGCATATATCTTTTTTTTTATTTCTTCTGAGATATCTTTGCTATCATCTTAATAAAATTTTAGAAGAAAGAGGAGTTGACTACATTTCCTTAATCCCGTATCTGAACTGTTATGGATGCTGATTACTGGCTGTGAGTACTTACTAAATTGCCTGTGCACATCAGCCTCTACATACTCATGATTCAAATTTGTGACTCCACATAAATCTCTACGTGTCATCGATCTTTGGGGCCAACTCTTAAATGCTTGAAATGACGAGTATAACATCTGCAAGTGCTGAGATTCGACTGTACTTTGGCAGAATGGTGATTAAACAATGTAAACTTTTCTGAGAGTCTTTAAATTGGAATATGTTACATTAATCAAAATGTATTAGAAATAATTTTTTAAATTCTTATTTTCAGGTTTTAGAGTATTTAAATGATCTGAAACAATATTGGAAAAGAGGATATGGTTATACTATTAATAGTCGATCCAGCTGCATCCTGTTTGAGGATATCTTTCAGCACTTGGACAAAGCAGTTGAACAGAAACAAAGGTAAAAATTAGAAAAAAATTGCAGTACATTTTGAATGCCCAATTAAGCTTCTAAAAAATATTGTGTAATGAGTGGTTTTTTAAAATACAATATTTGACCCCAAGGAATTATATAACATGTATGTAGGTGATAAAGCATACAAACTCTCCACTCAGTGTAAGAACTAGAACATTACCAATAATTTGCATTTATTTAGTTATGTGTTCCTCACTTGTTCTATTTTCCTACCTCTTGCCCCCTCCATACCTCCTGTACTGAGTAACTGCTGTTCTGAATTTTGTGTTTATCATTCCCTTGCCTCTTGAAAAATAGTGTTAATTATGAATGCATGTGTGCCTCGACAATGTTTAGTTTTACTTAGAATCATACCGCATGCTGCCTTCTGCGGCTTGCTTTTACCCTCAATATCACATTTATGATACTTATTGTTGCATGTAACTATAGCTTGTTCATTTTCACTATAATAAAATATTCAGTAGTGTGAATATACCAAAATTTATACCATCTACCCTTTATCAGTGGAGCCCGATCAGCTGCTAACCAAAAGGTTGGAGGTCTGAGTCTACCCTGAGGCACCATGGCTAAAAGACCTGGTGATCTTTCTCTGAAAAATCAGCCATTGAAACCCCTGTGGAGCACAGTTCTACTCTGACACACATGGAGTAGCCATGGGTTGGAATCAACTCCATGGCAACTGGTTTGGTTTTTTCCATCTGTTTAAAGAATGTTATTAGTATTTGGATTGGGGTTGCGTTGTATTTTTAAATCGCTTTGGGTAGAATTGTCATTTTCACAGTGTTGAG